CCTCATGTCTGATCCCATTGACACCTCATGATCACACAGGCTACTGTGCTTGTTCCATGTGGGCTTTGTTGCTTCTCAGATAGATGGCTGCTTATCTGTCTTCAAGCCTTTAAGACCCCAGATACTATATCCTTTGATAGCCAGGCACCATCAGCTTTCTTCACCACATTTGCTTATGCATCCATTTTGTCTTCAGGCATCATGTCGGGAAGGTGAGCATCGCAGAATACTGGATTGTTAGAACAAAGTGGTTTTGTGTTAAGGGAGTACTTGAGCTGAGGCCCAATGTCCATCTGCAACCTTAATTCTTAACATATAGATATGAGTACATAGTTCTATTCCCTTCTCATTATATATATATATTTACATATGTACATGCCTGTATTTAGGCCTCTGTAAATGTCCTTTGCCTCCTGGTTCTGTCCTCTATTTTCTTTTTACTTTCCTCTTTTCCCACCATCGTGTTCAGCCTTCATTCGGGTTTAGTAAATCCTCGCTACTACATTGCCCTTGATTAAGCCCCAGTAGGCATCCTATGACCTTCCTTCCATTGATTTTAGTTCACATGTTGTTCCCTTGTCTCTGGGTTGATGCCTCCAACCCCACCCCTGCTCCCTTTCTCCCACCTCCCCTTCTCCTGTATCCTCCCGGAACCACTGGTCCTGTTCTTTTCATCTATGAATTATTTATTCCACCTATCTTATCTAGATAGAAATGCAGATACATTAATAAGTGCAAAAACCAGGCAAAGCCAAATAAAACAACAAAGGGAGTCAAAACCCTTTCAATGGCTGGTCTTTCAGAAGTAGAATTCCAGGATTTTCTTGTCAATTGTCTGTGGATGGACTTGAACCTCTCACTGATCAGCAGCAGAGTACATTAACAGTTTGCACCACTCAGAAAAGAAGAGGTATTAGGGAAAACATTTCACTTTCCAAAAAATAAGTTTTTTTTAAAGATGAATTTTGTGCAGTGAATTTCATTAGGATTCTATCACAAAATTTCTATACAAATTGTCCTGTGATATATTGGCAACATTTTTCACCTGTGTCAACAATCTCATTCATTCTGTTCTGCTTGCATCATTTCCAGTTTCCCTGTCCCCTTATTTCTTGTCTTTGAGTTTGAATGATTTTTGAACATTTTGTCTCTTATAGGAGCTTACTACTTTTGGATAATATTGCTTATTTTATAAACCGATGGGTTATTTAGCTAAAAGTTGAATGCAAGGGGTAATTGCAATTTTAGGTTTAAAGCATATCAAAGGGTGATTTTTTAGGGAGTCATACCAATCAGTTAACATTGTCTGGACTTTTAAAGAATTTGCATTTGATTCTACATTCTTCTATCATTCTGTAATGGCTTGCTGTGGCCCTGATCTGAATGGCCAGGAGTGGCAGCTGAGCCCCTTTTAGTTCTTCTGATCTTAGAATGAGTGAGGTCAGGGGCAGTGTAGACCATTAGTCCTGTGGATGACTTTCTCCTCGGAGTCTTTGAGTTCCTTCTCTTTGGGTCCACATGAGTAGAGTCCAATAGTCACATGATTGCTGGCCATTTTGCCAACGTTTAAGTCTCTAATACCACTCACCGCCGTAGAATGTAGAGCATACACTTTATTGACTATATTATGCCAATTAATGGAATAGCCCCACAAGATCCTTAATCTTCAAAGCCATAAAACTAATTGTGTGAGGTGTTTAGTTACGTCCAAGAAGTATCCATCACTGTGTCCTATGGTTTATTTTATATACAGGATCAGATGGGATTCACACACATTCCTATATGTACACATGCCTATGATTCATTCTATCAATGTATGCATACAAGTCTATGCCTACATACCCATAGTCATATATTTATATGAACACATACACATTTGTGTAGCTACACACTTATTTTTTGGTTATTGTTGCAAAAATTACATTTGCTGTATTTAGTAAAATTGTCCTTTCTCATGAACTTTAGTAGCATCTTTTACGCCAGTCAAGTTGTATACACTTCAGCCACATTCAGTGCTATCTGTCCTGACACAAAACTGAACAAGTGTCTACTACTATCTCAATAGGGCTTTCCTCTATTCTTTACTGTTGCTGAGTTTTTGTTTTAAAATGGTTGTATTGGCACATAATTCACATATCAGTACAATAATATTGTTCAATCATATTATGAAGTGTAGTGCAATCATCACCACAATCAATTTTGGAGTATTTTCCTCTTTAGCTCCCCATTTCCTCACAATGCCCCCCCCACCCCCCTGCCACACACACATACCAGAAAGATGTTTATTAACTATGCCAAGGCATTTGACTGTGTGGACCATGACAAAATTTAGTAAGCTTTGAGAAGAAAGAGAGAATTCCAGAACACTTCATTGTGATTATTCAGAATCTGTACATGGATCAAGAAGCAGTTGTGCAGTCGGAACAAAGAAATACTGCCTGGGTTAAAATCTAGAATCCTCTGTCCCAGGGTCATATCCTCTCACCATATTTGTTCAATCTGTATGCTGAGCAAATCATCAGAGAATCTGGATTATCTGAAAAAGAATGTGGCTTCAGGATTGCATGTAGGCTTATTATCAACCTGCTGTTTGCGGATGACACAATCTTGCTTTCTGAAAGTGAGTAGGACTTGACGCACTTGCTCATGACGATCAAGGCTTGCAGTAGGATTACAACTCATTGTAAAGAAAACCCAAATCTTCACAACTGAACCAGGAGGTAACATCATGATAAATTGAAAAAAGTTGGGAGTTGTCAAGGATTTTGTCTTGCTTGACTCAACAATCAATGTTCTTGGAAATAGTATTCAAGAAATCAAAAGACATGATGCATTAGGAAAATCTGATGCATAAGACATCTTTAGAGAATGGTAAGGCGAGGATATTACTTTAAGGATAAGTTGCGCCTGACCCAAGCCACGGTATTTTCCATTGCCTTTAATGCATGTAAAAAGTTGGACATTGAATAAGGAAGACCAATGGAGAATCAATGCATTTGAATTGTGATGCTGGAAACGAATATTGAAAGCACCATGCACTGCAAATAAAGGACACATCAATCTGTCATGGAAGAAGTATGGCCAGAATCCTCCTTCGAGGCAAAGATGGTGAGACTTCCTCGTACATACACCTTGGGCATGTTCTCAGGAGAGACCAGTTTCTGGAGAAGGACCTTCTCCAGAAGGTGCTTAATAAAGTGGAGGGATGAAAAAGAGGAAGGCCTTCAATGAGATTGATTGACATGGTGGCTGCAACAGTGCAGTCAGGCATGGCAATGATTGTGAAGATGGTGCAGGACAGTGCGGTGTTTTGTTCTGTTGTGCACAGGGTCACTATGGGTCAGAACTGACTTAATGGCAACTAACAATAATGACAACAACAACGCATTTGCCACAGTAGATTTTACAGGCTCTCTGTTTGACAGCAAGGTTGTTCATATCCCTGGACTATACTCAGAGAGGATTCAGCAGAAGCTTAATCCATGTTGGGATTCTGCAAATGAATTGTGACCTTTCTCTGTCATTTATAGCTTTTTGCCAG